ACTTCAGACACAATGCAAGTACTCTGTAAATTACATGTTTATTTCCTCCTCCTCTTCTGATCTTGTTTAACCAAGAAGCCCACAACTCTGAGAGGAGAGATCTAATCTGCTCTGATGTGTCCATACTCACCACCTCCCACTCATACTCCAGTAAGCTGAAGAAAAGCCAACTATCCAATCTCAGCAAAATAAGATTTTAATGTGTCCAAATCTAAAAAACTGCCTTCAGCAGTTCTGGAACTCAATTCCAAAGATTAACAAAATGCTCCTAACTTTAACATACATACTTGGGATGTCCATTACTGCTCTATTTCTTAGCCATAAAAGAATACTGCTCCCAAACCCAAGGAAGATTGGTCTCCAGGACCTTTCTTTACAGCCTCCCCCACCCCTGTCTAGAGACTGCAAAGAGAAGAACCACACTGGAATCAGCAACTCAGAATCCAATATTTAATCTAGGTCCTGTTCATATATTGAAAAAATGTAAAAGGCCATACATAGGTTGATATTCTCAGCACAGTTCAGAACAAGACAAAGTGGCAGAATTACCACTCTCTTATCACTCTTTTCCTCCCGTAGCAAAAGTCCAAAACAAGGGTAGACTCCCCTCTTTCCAGATTTACCTTCAGGCTCACTCACACAGTAAAAAGGGGAAGAAGATGCTGATCTCTCAAGACTTCCAAATGGCCATGGTGAGGCCCTCACCTTGGGTCCAAAATACAACTTTACAGGTACATACAGCAAGAGTGTCAATCAGTCTCAGTACAGCAGACCCACAGGAGGAAGTGGCTCAGCTTTACCTAAGAACCTTTGCCCTGGGAGAGGCAAACAGGAGAGAGTTGGGGGCAGGGATACACCTGCAGTATCTACATCAGGCAGGAAGAAACCAAAAAGACCTTCCAAGAACATATCAGTAAAGTCCTAAGGTTTACCCTTCCCTACAATGGTTCTTCACAGTCAAGAAGACTGATTACCAATATAAGAAGCATGAATGGGCTTTTATTCTAAATACTGAAAGTAGAAAGACCAGATTAAACCTCAAAAGAATAAAAAGGGCAAGGGGTGGGGGGAACCACCCAGTAGGAGCCTACCTCTAGAGCTCAGCTCATACATACCTCTCAGCTTTTCCATCCCTCAGATAGAGTGTCAGAATATTGTCCAAACTCACACCTCCCCTCTCCCCAATACCATCTCTACTTCTTACAAGGATCTTTTCATAGGACTTCAGCAGAGCCTTATAATCAGGAAACGCACCTCTATCACATAGTGATTCCCATTACAACACCAAATCCTCACCTCACACATGGTTATCTCTACTTCTGTTAACTGACATTGACAAAACCAATCCTAAAAGAATAAGAAAAGTTCACTGGATAGAAAAGAAAAGGCATTCCGAGTAGAAGCAGCAGCTACTGCAAAGATTTCAAGGCTCAAAACAGTAATGTGTTCATTAGAGAACTATGAACAATTCTATTCAAGCTAGAATACAAAGTAGGGAATGGCAGAAGATGAGGCTGAAGAGGTAAAATAAGGCCAAATGAGGCCATGTTAAAAAATTTGGATGTTGTCCTAAAGGACACAGCCAATGAGTTCTGTGATCAGATTTGCATTTTTAGAAAGACCATTCTAGGGATGAATTAGAAAAGAGCAAGTTTTAAGACAATACACCCCCCCAAAAAAAAATCATAAGAGAGATGACCAGGACCTAAACCAAGGCTTTAATAATGAAGTCATGGTAATGGAAATAAATAGAGAAAAGATAACAGAGAAGAAAACATATTAAGATTTTAGTGACTGAATTCAGGGGATAAAGGAGCAAAAAGAATGAAGGATAATGATGAAGTCCTTGTCTAAAGTGAAATAGGTTACAAAAGCACATTTTCAGGATATAAGTTCTGTTTTAGGCATGTTAATTTTGAGATACCTGTAGAGATAAATAATCACCGGATATGTATGTTTGGAACACAGTGAGAGACAGACTAGACAGAGAAGTAATCACCTCATTATGATATATTTTTATATTTCACATTCTCTAAACTGAAACTATTTTTTCATGTGCCTGCAAACTCCATGAGATTTCATAGGACCATTACTTATTTTGTTATCCCATAAAATGGAAGCAACAGGAGAACAGTCAATATGCTCAAGAAGTATTTACTGAGTGCACAAATGAATGAATATGTAAAGGAATGAGTTTTTTGTTCCAGCACTTAGCAGAGTGCCTGGCACATAGCAGATATGAAATAAAAAGCTACATACAATACCCCCAAACATGTTCCTATGTCTACATCATCATCCTCATCTGTTTCATCTTCTAGAACATAAATCTTTTGTATTTAACAAATTACTATTTCAATGAAGAGTTCAGTATAGCATACAATAAGCTTACCATCAAGTGCAACTAAGAATCTGGACAGTTCCTAAGAATCCTCTAATATGCGACTTTGCTTATCCTATCATTATCTTGATGTTATCCAAGTGCTATGCATACCTGTTACCTGTTACATTGACAAAGTATTAAACAAAACCCTCAACTCTGTGCCCTCAAAGCCCCTTTAATCTCTCTTTTGGAAACAGAACAATTACGAATCTTTAAAAAAAAAAAAAAAACAACTTTGTCAGTCTTAGATTCTCTGTCCCAAATCACTTTTATTCTATTTACAAATCTTTCCCCAAGTCACACTCACTCTGAAACCAAGTTCTGAGTCCAATTTTGCCACTTTATCCATATGTGACTTCTAGCTTCTGAATGTGATTCTTCATTTATAAGAATTATTTCCTTTGCCTACAACACAAGGTATCAATGTAAATCTAGTAAAATTTGAAATTTCTATGTAAAGCATGACATTTTTACTTCATAGCAAATGATTACTATGAAAGTATGAATGCTCTTCAGATGTCAGAAGTTAAACAGAATCACTGTTTAATATGTTATATGCTTCCTCAACGTTAACAATAGCCACCATCACACTGTAAATTTCAGAATTTTGTTAACCAGTAGAAACAAATTTTTTAAAAATACAGTTGTTACTTTTTATTTTGGAAAAGAGGATCTTTTTTAAAAAACTCACCATCTACTGTCACCATTATTTCATGGGTGAAAAAACACTTTAACACCAAAAGAAGAAAAATTATAATGTCAGAATAAATTTATCTTAATGAAAAACTCACTATGCTCTCTTTCTCATACAGCTGAAAACTATCATAAACTGAGCCCTTGGCCCAGGGTTTAGGAACACTACTCTAAACCTGTATTACCCATGCAGATCCTATAGGGTTCTGGCTGTCTGGGCAGGCTGCCAAGGGTTCCACCAGTATGAAGTCCTATTTGGCCTCCAGAGAAAAGCAATGAAAATATACTATAGTTAGAAGAGCTGGTTCTAAAGCCAAGAGTCTGGAACAGAATGGGGACTGATGCTGCTCCTAATTCTCAGGGAATGATCTAGAGAGGACAATTTTTTTTTTAGACCAGAGAGATATCAAGGCATCTTCAGCTCATGGCAGATCATTAGCAGAGAGGAAATTTCAGTATTCTGAAAGTGTCGATTATCACTGAATGACAAACAAACTTTCTAAAATTTTCATGTGTCTGTGTTGGTGAAAAGAAGGGAACTTGCAAAATACTAATAAAGTGATGTCAATTAAAGAATGTGGCAGGAGGAATTAATTGCAAAGGAATAAGAAAGCTTCTGGGGATGGTAAAAATATTTAGTATCTTCAAAATGGTTTTGTAAAAATGTATGTTTGTCAAAACTAATCACATGTACCTTTTAAATATGAGTTGTTGTACATAAATTTACCTCAATGAAGTAATTTTTAATTTAATTCCAAGAAAAGGAGAGAAAGACCATCCTATTTGGGAGTCTAAATATAGTCATATGTGATATGTGACTTCCATGAAAGTAGAATTAGCAACTGAAGGTGGTCATTCCAATATAGATGACAACCATATGTAAAGCGTAACAGTGGAGTAAGGTTGCTCAGAAGCAGGCAGAGAGGGGGGAAAAAAACTTCATAAGGGTCCAGCTTGTTTGCAGTCCAAATGAAGAACTTGAGGGAAATGGGGCTCCAATGATTACGCTGTTGGTGACAGAACTTCAAAAATCACTTTCATTATCATAGCTACTGTTGCCCATGACGCCTTTTTTCCCCCTCCAAACCCATGGGAGCATGGGACACAAATGCACAACACTTCCACCCAAGCTGTCCTACTCAATCCCAAACTACTGTTTTCACTGGACGGGACGGTCCACCCAAGAAGGCCACAGAACCAACCACCTCACACCCATATATACATCTCATCACCTTCATTCCCTCCTCCCTTGCCCTGCCTTCAGCTCCCTCGTCATTCACCGCCATCCCCAAGGGTCCCGCCTTCGCCCTTTACTCTCCCACTCCTTGCACAGGCCTTAGCCACTCACTCTGGTCCCAGGACTGTCCCTCCCCCTTGCCCTCAGGAGACCCAGCCTCTTAGTAAATCGTTTTCATGAGTTCCTTCAACTTGTCCCTTCATAAAACTTCCCCTCCTCTCACATAACCAGCCTCTTACTCGTCCATTGATCCCTAGTTTCTTCACCCTGCTACCCTGCCTTCCCACTCATTAGCCCCTCACCACCTGCCAACCCCTCGCCCTGTCCCCTCACAACCAATAGTCACCAAATTCGGTGCCATCATTCCCCAGTCCCTCATTCCCTCATGCGACTCTTTGGGCCCTCCGGTCTGCGTATACTCTTCACTCACACAACGCCGACTCCGGCCAGGCCCTGTCGGCGCGGCGGTACTAGGTGAGTTCAGGCCGCCGCCATCGTTCCTCAGGCGCACTAGCCGCGCCCCGCCCCGCGCCACACGCATCCCGCGCCCCCGCGCACACACGTAACCGCCCAGCGACGCACAACTGGGCAATGGCGTGCCAGCTCATTGGCTGGGCCCGGCCAAAAACAGAGCGTTGACTCTTGTTTCCTGGCAACGGTCGAACGCAGGGGCGGGGAGGCAGACGACATTCCGAGGAAGGAGTGCCGCCTGTCTTCCAGGTCCCGCCCCTTCGCACTGTAAACCCCGCCCCTCAGGAGGACTCCAGCATATCATAGGGGCAGACCTCCGGAGAGGTGCAGGACGGGGGCGGAGCCTGGGAAGGAAAGGTCGAACCAGAGGGCAGAAGGCAGGACCTAAGGAGTGACAGGACTTTTAGAGGCAGGGAAAAGACCAGCAAGGCGGGATTTAGGAGTGAGATGGGCTGGAAAAGACTAGGGCCAAGGAGCGTAGCCACGGATACTGGGAGGTGCTTAGAGTGAACAAGTGGGCGTGGAAGGGCGTGACTAGTCCTAAAGGTTAGGCCTGAGGGAGGAGTCAGTAGGTGGGCGGGACCTGTGAAAAGCGAACCCCTGGAGAATGCTAACTGCAAAGGAACTAGATCATTTTACTACCTCTGCCAGTCACCCACAACACCTATGCATTGTGTTGCTCGATGACCCTTTGGGTGCTGTTTCAGTCAGCCAAGGAACATGAAATAATTGCTACATGTCAAGCTGGATTCCAGAATCATTAGAACAGATCTCTGCCCTCCAGGACCTCAGACCCTTAACTAGACACAAACTATCGCAAAGTAGTGCGAAAAGTGCTATATTCAAAGAAACATCTGGGACAGCACTTATCATGATGATTTGGGTATGCAGAGGATGGGCGGAAGGAAGGGTGAAAGGGCTTAGGGAAGACTTCCAGTAGGAGATACTGAGCTGAGTCTTGGGAAACAAGAAAAACTTAGAGAAGCTGAAGTTTCAAATCAAGTCTGTAGTTTAAAACATTGTGTCAATGTTAATTATCTGGTTTTGATCATTTTTCTAGATTTCTGTAAGATGATGACATTAGGGGAATGTGGATAAGGAGTTTACAACGTTCTGTATTATTTTTGCATCTTTTCTAAAACTCTGACATTAGTTCAAAATTAAAGGTCTTTCAAAGTAAAAAAAAGAAGAAGAAGAAATGGAAGTTTCAACCAAAAGGACCAGCATATACCCAGGCAAGGCAGAACAGAGAAGTGGAAGGTGTTCTAAACAGTCAGTACAGTGTGTCCAGAGCCTAGGCAACATGCAGAGGAAAGGTTAAATGAGGTTAAAGACAGGAATAAATGTGAGGTACAGGAGAGTTTTACAAGCCCTGTGGAAATTTTGATTTTTATCCTTGGGACAATAGAGAGTTAAACACAGTTTTATATATGGTCAGATTGATAGTAAGGGAATCTTTGTAAAAGGTCAGTCAAGAGCTAATAAGGCCCAAAGTAGTGTGATAAGAATCCAGAGTAGTGGACATGTGGACATTAGAAAAGCTTGATGAGAGAGCTGGGGTTGTGGATCAGTGGTAAAGTACTTGCTCCCACATCTGAGGCATTGGTTCTGGTCCTCAGCGCCACATAAAAAAACAAATAAAATGAAAGCATTGTGTTCCATCTACAACTAAAAAGATTTTTTAAAAAGACAAGTTGATGATTAGGTTCATCTGAAAGGAAGGAAGAAGGATTAAATACTGATAGATTATATAAATTCAAAACTAGGTAAAACTTAGCTAAGGTATAAAAAGTCAGGGTAATAAATAGCCTTGGAAAAGTATTGATTAGAAGTGGACAAACTGTGACTCCTGAGATTAGTGATGTTCTTTTTCTTGATCTAAGTGCTAGTTACTTTGTTGTGTTCACATTGTGAAAACTTATCAAGCTATATCCTTAGTAAATGTGCACTTTTCTATATGTTTATTTGTTGTGGCTATTATGCTGGGCAATGAACCACCCAAAGCTTAGTGTCATAAAACAGTAGCCATTTTATTATGCTTACAGAAACTGAGAATTCTAATAAAACATGGCAGGAATGGCTTGTATCTGCTCCATGATGTCTGTAGCCTCATCTAGAAGTCCAAATGCCTGAAGCTGACTTGAGGCTGGTGGCTGGAATTATCTAGAGTTTTTATCAGTCACATGTGTAATGCCTGGGCTGGGACAATTTAAAGGCTGGACTCAACTGGCACTATCAAGCACAGCTTCTTACAATGTGATAATTGAGTTGCAAGAGAGAGATTTCTGATAGGAAGCTACCAAACAACAAGTATTTCAAAAGATCCAGAAATCAGCCATGTGACTTTTTATTATCTAACCTCAGAAGTCACACCCCATACTCTTGCTATACTCCCTCAGTTGAAATAATCTAGAGAGAGCATTGTGAAAGAATTTGTGGCCATTTTTCAACTGCCCTTGTACAATGTATTACAATAATAATAATAAATAATTGTTCTAGGTCTTTGGCTTAAAGGACAAAGAGATAGGGATTATAGGGAAAAGAGTAAATGGGCAAAGATATTGAACACAGTTATAGATCCAGTAGTTTGAAAGTGACTGTGATATATCCAAGTGAGGACATTCAGTAAGTAGTTAATTATATAAATAACTGAAGCTTAGGAAGAATTTTTGTTTATTTTTTGTTTTGTTTTGTTGCACTGGGATGCTTTAACCCAAGAGTGCTTTATCATTGAGTTACATCTTTTGTTTTTCTTTTTTTTAAGATAGGGTCTTGCCATCAAGTATGGTGGCGCACACCAGTAATCCCAGCAGTTCGGGAGGCTGAGGCAGGAGGATCTCAAGTTCAAAGCCAGCCTCAACAACTTAGCAAGGCCCTAAGCAATTCAGTGAGACCCTGTCTCTAAATAAAATCCCCCCCCCAAAAAAAGGCTAAGGATGTGGCTCAATTTTTAATCCCTGGTACAAAATAATAATAATAATAATAATAATAATAGTATTAGTAGTATTATTTAAGATAAGATTGGGTCTTGCCAAGTTGCTAAGGATGGCTTCAAACTTGCAACCCTCCTGCCTCAGCCTCCCAAGTTGCTGGATTATAGGCATGGGCCACCATGCCTGGCACAGGGAAAATTTTTGAGAGTCATTAGATGTCAAAGGAAATTCTGTGAGAAATTCTAAGATCCACCTGAAATGGTAAAGCAAGTAAAAAGAGAAGAAGGCCTAGAACAGTGTCCTAAAAAAACACCAATTTAGAAGAAATGGGCAGAGAAGCTTGTGAAACAAACTAAGGAGAAGTAAACAGAAAACCAAGAAATTGTTCTATTACAGAAGCTATGGGAAGAAGGGATTTCAAAATATAAATGAAGGAAAAAAACACAAATCTGACCCTGGTCACCCATTGCCTTTGGGTAAAATTCAAGCTTTGTAACATGTCTGATAAAACTCCCTGAGCTGCCTCTTCACTTGGGTCTCTTCTCTCACCATTATCCCCACAGGTTCTCTTTAAAAAATAAAAACACTAGATTGGTATTCTCCTAGTCACAATGATTTTGATGTTTCTATGTCTTTGCATACTTTATGTACTCTGCTTTGGTGCTCTTCACCCTCCCAGCTCTGTATCTAACTCCTATTCATCCTACAGAACCCAACTCAATTAGGAACTTTCTTATGTACAATAACAGCTTTCTGTGTAGCCACTTAACTTTCTAGAGGACAGAGAGTATGTCCCATTCATTTTTTTTATCCCCAATACTTAACACAATATTGGCCTGACACATAGCAGGAATTCTGATCATGACTTGTTGACTGAGAAAGATGATAGTACTGAAAGGGACATCAGGTTCAGGGAGAATTAATAGGGTTGTTATTTTGGTATGGGAGAAATTTAAGCATATTCACAGAAAGACAAATGTTGGAAGCTAGTGGCATTAGGCACTGGAGATAATAGGAAAGGAACAGGGGAAAGAGTCCCATAAGATGGCCTCCCCATCACATCATCCAGCAGGAAGGAGCTTGAGTAGATGTGGCAGTAGATAAGGGTACAGATAAGAAAAGCAGAGCTCACAACTGATGTGAGAGGCATCTCTTTGTCTCCAGAGATTAGTATAGCACCTGACACAGAGGAGTCACTCAGCAAATAGTTGTTAAATAAGTAAATAATGAGACTCAAGCAGAGAATTTTAACAAGGTAAAATAGTGTATGAACCTACAATAAAAAACCCCGGTCTCCTGATCTAGAGAGTCCCTTTGTAGCTCAACCTGGGGTTAAGACAAAGGAGAAAGAAATAAGGTATAGGATTCTTTCTGAGGCACACACACCCATTTTCTCCAGGGACCTCATTAAAGGTGTTTAGCTGGGAAGGTGTAAGCCTAAACCCTGGGAGACAGGGCGGGTCGCTGGAGATACACTGCCTCCACCCTTCAGTAACTGTTAGCCCTGATTGTGTTGCTAAGAGCAGAAGTCACAGCTAGAGCTCAAGGACAGCCTCTTCCACACAGTCAGGCAATAGCCCCCTCCTCCACAAGCCACCTACAGGCAGAGAGGCCCTGGATATTGCACAAGCCAGCACCAGGCTACAGAATCATGAGCCAAGACAGCAAAGTGAAGACTACAGAATCCAGCCCACCTGCCCCATCCAAAACCAGGTAAGGAGTTCTGGTCCTTTGTGTCAGATCTATCCACCTCACTCCAAAGGAATCTCATTCCTCTTCGTAGCACCTATCAAATGTCTGCTGAACACATGAGGCAGGATCTCTCTTTTTGCCCACAGGAAGAAGCTGCCTGTCTTGGATCCATCTGGGGATTACTACTACTGGTGGTTGAACACAATGGTCTTCCCAGTAATGTATAACCTCATCATCATCGTGTGCAGGTTTGGCAGGGGCGCTAAAACAGAGGCCTTAAGTAGGGATGAAGAAGAGCGGTGGGCATTTGGGCAGGGCCTAAGGAAGGGGCAGCACCCATTGTAGGGCCCAAGGCAGAATAGTATTTAGGGGCCCGTCTTGAACCGCCTTACTCAGCTTGGCCTTTAAGCCAATCATCTGTCCTCCCTTTGCACCACCTCTCAGAGCCTGCTTTCCTGACTTGCAACATGGTTATCTATTGGCCTGGTTCGTGCTGGACTACACGAGTGACCTGCTCTACCTTCTAGACATCATAGTGCGCTTCCACACGGGTCAGTGAGCCCCTAGAACTGACCCTTGGTTTCATGTTCCCTTCCCAAAGAAAGCCCCTCATAGCAGAAAGAACAAGGTCCCCTCGGTGGTAGCACTTTCACATGTGTCTCTCTGTGCTTGACAATATCTCCTTGCTCACCTCCACCCTGTCCCTGTGTTTGTGTCCCTGGCCTGCCCATCCTCACCTGTGGTTGATCTCAGTGCATCCCTTTCTTCCCTCCCCTAGGATTCTTAGAACAGGGTATCCTGGTGGTTGACAAGGGTAGAATCGCGAGTCGCTATGTCCGCACCTGGAGCTTCCTGTTGGACCTGGCTTCACTCATCCCCACTGATGCTGTCTACGTGCAGCTGGGCCCACACATACCTACGCTGAGGCTCAACCGCTTTCTTCGTGTGCCTCGCCTTTTCGAAGCCTTCGACCGCACAGAGACCCGCACAGCTTACCCAAACGCCTTTCGCATCGCCAAGTTGATGCTTTACATTTTTGTCGTCATCCACTGGAACAGCTGTTTATACTTTGCACTATCCCGGTACCTGGGCTTTGGGCGTGACGCATGGGTGTACCCAGACCCAGCGCGGCCTGGTTTTGAACGTCTGCGGCGCCAGTATCTTTACAGCTTTTACTTCTCCACACTGATCCTGACAACCGTGGGCGATACACCACTGCCAGCCCGGGAAGAGGAGTACCTCTTCATGGTGGGCGATTTCCTGCTGGCCGTCATGGGTTTTGCCACCATCATGGGTAGCATGAGCTCTGTAATCTACAACATGAACACCGCAGATGCAGCTTTCTACCCAGATCACGCCCTGGTGAAGAAGTACATGAAGCTGCACCATGTCAACCGGCGGCTAGAGCGGCGAGTTATAGACTGGTGAGAATACCTGGGTTCCACACCAGTAGAGGGAGGAGTGTGCTAGCAGAACAGGGTTGGGGGTGGGGGCCACTCACTGACTGGGCTGAGAGGGTCTAAATTCATCCAGCAGTAAGTCTGCTGGAGGGCTTGGAAAGGAGTGTTCTCCACAGAGGGAATCTAACCCCGGGAGAGGGTGGGTAAGAGACTGATAGGAAGAGGAACTCATGCAAAAAGAAGGACAACATGGTAACCAGGGAATGGGAGCTGCCCACTGTCTGGTAGGGCTCAGAAGGCTCTAGAAAGAGTGAGTGGAGAAGGGCAACACCACCCTCACCAGCAGAAGACCAACAAGATGACTGACTGTATCATGGTATGTCATACTGTGTTCTAACAAATATAAGTGCCACAAAATTGGTGAGTCAGAGAGAAGGCTCTCAGAGAAGATGGGAGCTTGGTGACTGAAGTAGCTATCAGTGGAGGAAATACTAAACATTGATCATGGGTGGGATGGAGTCTGACAGAAAGTGAACAGTATGGCACTCATTGTCAAGTGGTGGAGGCATCTGTACCTTGGGTGAGGTCAAAGAGACCAAAACACATCTATAACCAAGAAAGGATATTAGCCAACTATCAGGTTCTTCCATGACCTTTGCAAGACCTGAGTGTGGTTGAGATCTTGGCTGATCTAAGCCCTAATGGAAGGGGAAGAGACAGGCTGGTGAGGAAATGGCACTACCCTTTCTCCCAGGTACCAGCACCTGCAGATCAACAAGAAGATGACCAATGAGGTAGCCATCTTACAGCATTTGCCTGAGCGGCTGCGAGCAGAAGTGGCTGTGTCCGTACACCTGTCTACTCTGAGCCGGGTACAGATCTTCCAGAACTGTGAGGCCAGCTTGCTGGAGGAACTTGTGCTAAAGCTGCAACCGCAGACCTACTCACCAGGCGAATATGTATGCCGCAAGGGGGACATTGGCAGAGAGATGTACATCATCCGCGAGGGTCAACTGGCTGTCGTGGCAGATGATGGTGTCACACAGTATGCTGTGCTTGGTGCAGGGCTCTACTTTGGGGAGATCAGTATCATCAACATCAAAGGTGGGTACCCCAGCATTTTTTCCAGGAACAGAGTTGGGAAAAGAATGGGATAGCAGAACTCTGTCCTGGAGCAAGATGGTACTTCAGGGCACATTTAGATGAAGGCAACTTCACCCCTTCCTGAGTCACTACAGGGCTCAGAAGAGAAGCTGGACACTGAGAAGAAACTGAGCCTAGGTCAATTGGCAGGGTGGGTCCTTAGAAGGGAGAGTAAGCATACTTTATGGGTACTGACTGAGGCACCAACAGACCATTGGAAAATGATGGAGGTGATAGTAATAATGATGTTTATCTCATACTTGCTACATCCCCTGCTCTAAGTGTTTATCATGCATCAATTCAAATTCTCACACAGCTGTATAAGGTAGGAACTGATCTTCTCTCATTTTGAAGATAAGGAAATTGAAGCTTAGAGAAGTTTGGTAATTTGCCCATCTCTCTATTCTTGCTCCTCCTTCTAGTTAGATTGCTCTCCTCCCACTCAATTTCCTATTTCCCCTAATTACCTCCTACCCAGTTCAGGCATTTCTTCCTCCAGGCTTCCTTAAATTCTCTGCCTTACAGCTTGACAAGGGCTCTTTGCCTGTCTTCCCATAGTACCTAGTGCATATGTCTACACTGCACCAACCATACTGTTATATAACTATCCCATTAAATGTCTTTCTCCTCTAGATCATGAATTTTTGAGGCATGTCACTGATACCCAACCAGCACAGAGTCTGGTCCCCAGTACGTTATTGAATGAATTGGAGGGGGGAATCCTAGTTCAGGAGTGAAATGGTACCTTCCCACATCCCTGCTAACTATCCTCCCTTCTGTTCACCCACGGGCCACAGGGAACATGTCTGGAAACCGTCGCACAGCCAACATTAAGAGCCTCGGTTATTCAGACCTATTCTGTCTCAGCAAGGAGGACCTCCGAGAGGTGTTGAGTGAGTATCCACAAGCCCAGGCTGTCATGGAGGAGAAGGGCCGTGAGATCCTGCTGAAACTGAATAAGTTGGATGTAAATGCTGAGGCAGCTGAGATTGCCCTACAGGAAGCCACAGAGTCCCGGCTGAGAAACCTTGATCAACAGCTTGATGATCTACAGACCAAGTTTGCTCGCCTACTGGCTGAGCTGGAATCCAGTGCACTCAAGATTGCTTACCGTATTGAACGGCTGGAGTGGCAGACCAGAGAGTGGCCAATGCCTGAGGACTTGACTGAGGCTGATGATGAAGGCGAGCCTGGGGAAGGAACTTCCAAGGACAGAGGGGGAAGGACCAGCCAGGAGAGACCCTCAGGACCAGAATGATTCCATCTCTGTCCCCTGGAAACCCACCTTCCAAGTGAATTCAGAATTGTAGGAAAGTCTGCCTGCAAAAACAGCCATCTTATTTGCTAGTTCACAGAGACAGGAGTGAATTGATTTGTAGATGCCCAGCTAGAGATGTAGGGTATAACACACATTCATCCCCCAACTCAGCAGCATATGCATGCACTGGCCCAACATTCTATATTCCATAGAATATGCTCTAGAGTTCCCATTCTCAGAGCACACAATGCTTTTTCATAAGCATAGATATAAGTTATATCACATCACATAAGCACATTCAGTCACGTACCCCCGAACATATGCTGACAGTCATACACCAACAGACACAGAGATACCACATACAGATGTGTACATTGCTTGTGAAAACATAAAAGTGCACTCAGAGCCTTGGTGTTCCAAGATGTCCTTTGAATGCTCCCCATATGGGTGGTTAGCAAATGTACCCTGCAAATTGCACTTCAATAAAGTATTTGCCTCCTCATAAGCATTTATGGGACTAAAAGTAAAAGGCAAAGCCAGTGATGGGCCAGGAGAAATTCTGTCTGAATTCTGAGTCACAGGGGTGAGGAGCACAGGTGTGTTCAAAAAAGTTGGAGTACTAAAAGAATGGAGAGTACTGAGGTAAAGAAAAGTCATCTTATACATGACATCGCTAACAGGTGTGCACATACTTTCATAGATATATTCATATCATATGCTGGTTTTGCATTCCACACCATAGTGTATGTCCTCAACTCTGAGCTCTAAGGGGTTTGATCTAGTTTAGTGAACCAGACCATATAACTCTGTTTTTTCCTTCTTCTGGACCAATCTTTGAATCTGGAGCCAGGTCTTCCCTGTGTTCAGGACTATTTCCAAGGGGGAAATAGTTCCCAGTACCTGTCCCTGGCTGTTCCCTATCCAACCAGTTATTGGAGCTGGCCTTGGTGCCGGCAGAAATCCAACCCTCCTACATTGCATGGTATTCATAAATATAGGATAGAGAGTAGAGACTAGGTGGAGTGGAACATCATTGGGAAAATTAGAGATGAGTGTGTTGGGAGTTTTGGAGTAACTTGGTGTGCTTGGAAGAAGGGCTGCTGGTTTGGGGCTGGAAAGGCATTGAGTCTACAGAGAAGTCTGATATCAGCTCTGAATCACATTCACCCTGGCTTACCACTTCAGCTCCTCCAGGATAGGCCAATCTTCAGGTCTGAGCTATGCCAGGAGATATATTAAAATGAATCTGGGGCTTGACTTATAGGTATAACTGAGCAGTAAATTTCTACTATCATGAGAGATTATTAGGGTCATTGTACTTCAAATCATTTAAAAATATGCAGGTATTTTATGATTTTCTTCACAAAATACTAAAATTCATAAGTCTGGCCCTAGGTCTGTCTTGTTTATCTCTGTATTCCCAAGGCCCAAACCATGCCTGGCATATAAGTACACAAATATTTGCCAGTCAAAGTGAAGAGAATTGAAGCACATAGAGTCCAAAATTAGAAGAAGGTGTGTGTCAGTTTCTTAGGAGGTTTTAATGTTTTTCCATATTTTTTATTGGTGCATTATAGTTGAACGTATTGATGGGATTTTTGTTACATATTTGTACATGCACAAAATATAATAATATAATTTGGCCAATATCACTCTCCAGCACTTCCCCCTCCTCCCTTTACTTCTACCCCCGGTCCCTTTCCTCTACTGATCTCCTTTTGATTTTCTTGAGATCCTTGACCCTGTTTTAGTCAGCTTTTTCACTGCTGTGACCAGAAAACCTTACAAGAACAATTTTAAGGAGGAAAAGTTTATGTGGGGGCTCAAGGTTTCCGAGGTCTCAGTCCATAGATGGCTGGCTCCATTGCTGTAGGCCTGAGATGAAGCAGAACATCATGGCAGAAGAGTGTGGTGGAGGAAATCAGGTTAGGACATGACCACCAAGAAGCAAAGAAAGAGCTCTACTCAACAAGGACAAAATATATATCCCAAAGGCACACCCCCAGCAACATCTCCTCCAGTCACACCCTACCTATTGTTTCTACCTAGTTAATCCCTATGGGGGGGGGATGAATGCGCTGATTACATTAAGATTCTTGTAACCCAAATCATTTTTCCTCTAAACTTTCTTATATCATTTCACACGTGAGCTTTTGTCTAAACCATAACCCTCACCCAGCCCGCATCTATCTTTTCTTTTTTTCTTCTCTAGTTTCCATATATGAGAGAAAACATAACCTTTGACCTTCTTTCAAGAGGGTTTTCTACCATCTCTGTCCTCAACTCATATTGAAGTGGAATGGGTGGGTATGTAGTAAAGACCATATTGGTGGTACCAGATGCATTAGGGAACTCAGAGTAAGCTTTTTGTCGACACAATACAATGTGCAGGCTCTATTAGAACAAGTGATCACTCCCACCCTATAGAATCCTGGTGTGTAGTAGAGTAGGGGTGATGACTGACTACCTGGCATAATTTGGATGCGAAAGCAAAATTCTTCCAGAGCCAGGTATGTATTTTGCTCTGCCTCTGCTATTTCAGATGAGGGGATCAGTTTTTTGTTTCTTTTTTATTATTATTATTATTATTTTAAAAAAGAATTTTTTTAGTTATACATGGACACAATATCTTTATTTGATTTATTCATTTTTCATGTGATGCTGAGTATCAGACCCAGTGCCTCACATGTACAAGGCAAGTGCTCTGCCACTGAGCCACAACCCCAGCCCTCTTTTTTTATTATTCTTTTTCTTTTTCTTTTTTGGTACCCAAGATTGAACCCAGGGTGCTTAACCACTGAGCCACATCCCCAGTCTTTTTGATTTTTTTATTCTGAGACAGAGTCTCACCAAGTTGCTGAAACTGAACTAGTGATCCTCCTCCCTCAGCCTCTCAAGTTGCTGGGATTACAGATATGCACTACCACATCTGTCAAGATCAGATTCTCCATAGTGGAATCACTATGCCTAAGACATCTTAAATGTCAGCAATTCCATACTAGAGTCATCCAGTCAAGGAATAGTTTCCATCACCTTGTTAAAGACAATATTTTGGGAATCAAGCTGGATAAAGTAAGTTCAGGATGGGCAGAAGTGAACAAAATCTTATGTTCCTGAAATAACAAAATAATAAATATTTTCTGGTCTAAAGAATATTAATGTGTATCATACACTAGGCTAAGTACTTATATATGTAGCAAGAAATTTTTATTGAAATAGTCATTTTGGGCTTTGAACATTTTATACCTCCACCTATCAAAGAAATTACCTAAATCTTTATATCCCTAAACTTAAAAAGTTTTTTTTTTTTTTGGTATGGGAAGGTCCAAGACAGAAATTGTCAGAAACTCTGTCTTAGACTATTTTATGACTAGGGATCCTAGGTTTTGACAAACAATTCACTTAGAGGTAAATTGTTGACAGTCTGAAAGGGGTTAGAGTTGAAGAAATGGAAGCTTCTGGGCCTAAATAGGGAAATTTGCCAAGACTAAGAAAAGAAATGGGGGTCAGGCATGGTGGTACATACCTGTAATCCCACTATTCTGAAGACTGAGGCAGAAAGATCCAAGTCTGAGTCCAGCCTCCATAAATTTGGGACTCTGTCTCAAAATAAAAATTTAAACAACTAGTGATATAGCTCAATGGTAGAGAACTCCTACATTCATTTTCCAATACTTCAAAAGAAGAAGAAGGAAAAGAAGGAGAAGAGGAGAAAAGAAATGGGATTCTTAAAGATAATATTAGGCTTTTTTCTGTTGTAACATATTACACAAATTTAACACCACCCATTTATTATATATCTTGCTATTCTGAGTCAGAAAATCAGGCTTTGCTAAGAGTCTCCCAAGACCGAAATTAAGGTGTCAGCTGAGTTGAGCCCTTAACTGGAGGCTCTGTGGAACAATCTGCTTTAAGCTCATTCAGACTGTTGGCAGAATTCAGAACCTTTTGATTGTGTCCTTGATACAAGTCCCCTTCATCTTCAAGACAACAAAGGCATATTAAATCTTTCTCATTTTTTTCACTTCTCCTTTTAGTACAAGAGAAAGATCTTTAGGGTTCATCTGATTAGTTTAGGTCTATCTGAATAAGCCAAGGTAATCTCCCCATTTTAAGGCCAGCTGATTATTAACCTCAATTACATCTGCAAATTCCCTTTTGCCATATTCACAAGAATAACACCAGAAGGCAAAGGTAATAGAGCCAAAATTGTGTATCACAGAGTCTCTGGGGAGAAAAGCAGCCTGGAATCCACTTCCACAGAGGAATCAGAATAGGGAACACTTAGAGTTAAGACTTTGGAAATTGGAGAATGGTCATTATGGCAGAGTAGACATTAATAACTGGAATCTCAGAGCATGTGCCCTAAGGGTGCGCAGGCTTGAACAAGACCCATACCAGCATAATCAGCAGGGTCTGAAGACCAAAGGCCTGTTCCAGGCCTGTCTAACATAAAACACCCAGAGATGTTTACAAGCCCCTAACTAGGGAAAGAGAGAACAGAAAGAATACCACAAAACACCTCTGAGATCAAATCCCCCATAAGGTAGGTGGTTAAAAGCTTAAATGCAAATTGCCTGATTTAGAGAATCAAGGAAATGTATATTTTTATAACTGTCATTGAATCATTCTAAACTGCTGTACATACATTATCTTATTTTGTCATTATAACAATATTAGGAAATTTAAGTTATTATTATGTTCATTTTTCCTGATCAGGAAACTGAAGCCCACAAAGCAACTAAAAATATTAGATTTGATTTGTTGAGGAGTTACTTATGCTAGGTCCTAGGCCAATTAATTGTTTCAATTAATCCTTAAAACGATATGAGAAAGAGGCCACTATCATCTCATTTTGAAGCTCTGGAACTAGCTTTCCTACTCTCACAGGGCTCCTAAGTCACATGGAATGAAATCCAGGTTTGTCATACTTTTTCTCATGGGGAGATAAGAAAGGGACTTTCTGAACTAGGCAAACTCCTTGCTTCCTGGGGAACGAAGGTTATAGGCCGTAACTGTGGTAACAAGGGAGAAGGATCCAGTTGTGAAAAGGAAAGCTTGTGAATCCCTAGCAAGTCTGCCCAATGTGCTGAAGTGTGATATCAGGACTGCAGCCAAAAACAAGGGACCACCTGCTGCTGTGGGGAAGGGATGCCAATAGCCAGGCCTGCACACATGCAGCTGTGAGAAGAGACAGGAGTTTTGGAGTCACTGCTAAATTTCTAAAGGGCTGTCAAGACTGCTCAAGGGCCCTCCTGCTGAGAACAAACTGTTTTGTTTGTTTGTTTGTTTGTTTTGTTTTGTTTTGTTTAGTTCTTCTGCCTCCCACAGGACCTCAGGACTCACCCACTTCTCTAAGTCATTACTGTGGGATACCTCAGCAGGGCTAAGATTTTGGAGGTACACCCCTCTTCAGTGTTCCCAGTTAGCTTCTCCCCCACAAAAGCTTCTTTAGCCCAACCCATCCCACCTTTTTCTTTTTTAGTGTTTGGCTGCTAACCCCAGAAGACAGATGAAAATAAAAGTATCAACCTTGGGAGGAAATCAGATTCATAGGGACAGAGGCCATTCAACTGGAGAAAGATCTAGAGCAAGCACTAGGAGCCAGGAGCAGGACGCAAGGTGGGTGGATTCTAGCTTGAGACTAGAATCAAAGATGGATGTTCAAGTTGGATTAAAGCTGGGAACAAAGTCATGGCCCAAGACAGGACAAGTGTTAAGCTGGCCTTAAAGTAAAAAATATAAGAAAGAGCATGTATTTGGATCAATCAGAGTTAGGTTTTAGTTCTGAAACATCACTATCTGAGGAACTCTCTCTCAGTCTCTTCTATAAAACCTATCAGGATCATTAGTAGGAAATGCTATAGAATTAAAATGTAAATGAGATAATGAATGTAAACTGCCTGCCAGTTTCTGGAAGATAGTGATTTCTTAATGATGAATAGCAGCTATGATGTTATTCGTGTCCCTCTGGTAGTGGTTTTACTTTGAGGGTTCTGGGGCATGGTTGTCCAGCTGTGCTTGGGCTAAACCTCCATTGGCTTCTGGGCTGTGCTGACAATGCCAGGTCTGGCCAGCAGAGGGAGCAAGGAACTCCTTCCCATCCCTCCTTACAACTCCCTCCCAGGCCTCAGGATTGCATTGCTTTTGAAAAGCTGAGAGAATTACCCAGGGGGAAATGAAATCTTTGGGACAAGGAATGATGTTAGGGAATTGTGATCTCAATTGGTCTGTGAAAACCCTTCTTCCTACATTTTACACAAGGACTAAAGTATATCAGTGGTGATAAGAAGAGACATTACTGAGGAGATTGTACCCAAATCAGAGTCTAAAGCAGCTCTGTTGAAGGTAGTACCACTGATGGCTGGGAACATTCAGGACTGAAATGAATGAAAATTCCCTGTACTTTTCACCCCTAAATTACACAGATCCTTTCCTGTCATTGCTTTTCCATTTTCAGTACCTTAGCCTGCTGACCTCAGTCTTTCCCTTCATCAACAGGTCCTATAGGGCCCTGGAGATTAATAACTTGGGGGCATTTATGGAAACCCTTTCTGAATGACCTTCCTTTGGCTCTTCCATCCCTCAAGTGAAGCCCTGACTTGGCAGATCCAGACCTCTCTTAGCCTACCTATGAAGGCCTGTGTGTAAAGCAAAGTATAACCATCTAGCTAGAGTCAGCCTCTGGGGATGTGCCTCTGCTCTCTCCCAGCACAAGCCCTGGGAATGTAGAAGTCCAGTCCTGCCCCTGGTTTCTTTCTTTTACCCAACATCCCTTCCTGCTCTGGTTCCAGCCACCTGCTTTCTCAGCCTGCTCCCTCCTTGTTTACTCCAAGAGAAGAGCCTCCTGTGTGGGCAGGGGTTGCGTAGGCAGAGTCAGCACAGAAGCACGTCTGCACATCATAGAAATGCAGTGAAGAGAGGGCCTTGAAAGGTATGGAAGAGGCACCTAATCAGACACAGAGAGAGGAGCTAAGCAAAGGGGGAAGGAGCAAGCAGGCACCCCAAGGACTGAACTATGACTCCTAGCACTGGATCCAAGCTTCCTGGATATTAGAACCAGGGTGCCGGAGGAAGAGCACATTACATGACTCTGGATCATGAACACTGGGTTTCCTGGACCTACAAGCTAGTTAGAAATAGCAGCACCTAATAAAGCAAGTTATCTCTCTGTGTGTTAGGAACTATATTCTACTTTCTTTGGCTGTTTCTCCTGAACACTTACTGAAGCATTAAGTATTCCCCTCTTATCTTAGTTGTACTACAGAATACTGGAAGAAAGATCATGTGCCCATATTGGAGCACAGATGGCTGAAATTTCCCCAAAGGAAAGAGAAATTGTTCTAGATATAAAATTGAAGATAGGTGGTCCAAAATCCCCCTCCAAAGAGCAAAGCAAAACAAAAGAAAACAAAAAATAGCAGATAACCTAGGCAGGTCAAGGCTTGAGTTAAAGACAGCTTCACTCAGGACTGACCCTGAGCCTACTTCAGAACGTCTTGCAATTGTTTCCTGTGACTATCCATATTGACTTTGCATTTCCCTCCTTGCTCAGATCTAAACCCTCTCTGTTTCCTGGAGCTGAGCAATCTCATTCTCTCCATATGCTGGATTACTCTTGGCATAGATGAAATTTCCTGATTTTGAGATATGAGTATCTACCCTCTTAACACTACATTTTTATCCCCTCTCTTCCCTCTTCTGCTCATGGTATTTCCCCCTTCTCCACTATAGCTATTTCTCCTTCTCTTTCTCCTTCTCCTTGTCCTTCTTCTTCTTCTTCGTCATCCTTGTAAATCATCTTCATGAAATCAATCTAACTCACCATCTCCTGACTCTCACATCCCATTACCCACTAGCATTTATAGAATATGAGCAAGGTCCAAAGATGATGAATAATATTGAACAAACAAGAAAACTGAAGTTCAAGTTTCCTGAAGTCAAGCATGAACAGTCAGTGGAGCTAGAATCTGAGTGTGAGATAAAAAGACAGAAAACAAGTAATGAGAGGTGTGGGGAGGACTTTTGATAAACTATTAAAGAAAGGAGCGCGTATTAGTCTGCTCAGGCTGCCATAACAAAATACCACAAACTGGGTAGCTTATACACCAGAATTACATTTTCTCATTAGAAGAGCTAGAAGTCCTAGGTCAAGGTACTTGAAGATTCAGTTTCTGATGAGAGCTTTCTTCCTGTTTTGTAGACAATTGCCTTCTCACTGTGTCCTCACGTGATCTTTCCTCTGTGTATAGTGGAGAGGGAGACAAAGAGGGAGAGAGATTGATCTCTGGTCTCCTTTTTATAAGGACACCAGTTCTATTGGATTAGGAACCCACTCTTATGACCTCATTTAATCTTGATTACCTCATTCAAGGCTCTATCTCCAAATACAGTCACAAAGGCAGGAAACAGAGCCCTGAAATAATAAGCAAAAAAAACAATTACAAGACATGTTATTGTAGGAATTACCATATTAAAAGATACAGGGTGTTACATACGCACACAGAGAAGGCACCTAATCCAGACTTGTGGGACTAAGAAAAGCTTGTCAGATAAATTTTGTTCCCTATAACTTCTTTTCCAAAAGCCTAAAACTCTTATATTCTCAACTTCTTTGAGCACTCCCTACACCTATACTAAAACGAACAGTCCCCTAAGAATGGTATATCTTAGGGGATATACCATCCCCTGCAGAAAGGGATGACTTCTCATCTCTCAACATTATCTATCAGATTTGGGGTCCTACATGCACCGTGTTGCTTCCTCATTCTCAATAATCCTTGAAACTCGTAACTTTTCTTCCTCATTGCTGACAACTGCCAATCTTCTGGAACTCACCTATTTCTCACTTTAAGCCTTGTCACGTCCTGCATAGTCTCTCTCTTCTCCATGTCCAGCAGAGATTTCATGGCCCATGACTTCATTCTTGTTCCTTTATTTTTACATCCTACAACTGTGTTAAAATTCTAATTGTGAGTGCTAGGGTTGTGGCTCAGTGGCAGAGCACTTGCCTCGCACATTTGAGGCACTGGGTTCAATCCTCAACACCACATAAAAAATAAGTAAATAAAATAAAGATATTGGGTCCATATATAACTAAAAAAATTTTAAAGATATTTAAAAATCCCAATTTTGAATAAAGCAAACCATCAATATTCGTTATATTTGCATCCAACTAGCTGATCTCTGCTAGAGAAATTGATACACTGGAAATTTATGGTCATCAACCCTCCAGTGCGCCCCAATATTTTCCTATTGTCTTACTACTTTCCTCTTGTCTCCCTTTTCCTTCTCCCATTATATGGTTTTCTTGGCTCCTAAAATTTTAAACACACATCAGTCATGGATAGCCTAATCTTCAACTTCAAAGAGATAACAGAACTATAAGACAGCAGCTCCCTGCCAAATTTATAAATCTACTGTGTTAGTTAAAATGCTGGTTAGGTTGCTATGACAATAGAGAAAAAAATTACAGAGACATAAGATTGTAGGGTTTTTTTTTCTTTTTCATGCGTAAAAACCAAGAATGATAAAATGATTTGAGAATAAAAAAGACCCAGGGTCCTTCCTTCCTGTCATTCTGCCATCCCTAGTGAGTTACCCTTCCTGCCTTCCTATCCCCAGTCAGCCTGCAAACAAGAGCAGTAAGGAAAAGAGGGTCTGTGGCTCTCCTTTAAGACCCTGACCTGGATGTTTCACTTTTCACTTCCACCTACAACCACTGTCCTAGTCATAAAGCTGCAAAAACAAAAATGAAAATAGAGCAGTGTTGTGGTTGGCTGTGACTTAGTTTCATCTATAACTATCCTCTTCTACTAATTTCCTCTTACAAATGAGATTGATTCTCCATCATCTCCACTTCTACTCTGGATTCTATACATCCTTTCCCTCTCAGCAACCTGGCATTATTAATTAGCCATTCTTTGGAAGATTCCTTGGAAAACTGGGAATGGAACCACCATTTGACCCAGCTATCCCTCTCCTCAGTCTATACCCAAAGGACTTAAAAACAGCATACTACAGGGACACAGCCACATCAATGTTGATAGCAGCACAATTCACAATAGCTAAACTGTGGAACCAACCTAGATGACCCTCAGTAGATGAATGGATTTTTAAAATGTGGCATATATACACAATGGAATATTTCATCAATAAAGAGAGAATAAAATCATGGCATTTGCAGGTCAATGGATGGTGTTGGAGAAAATAATGCTAAGTGAGGTGAGCCAATCTCCAAAAAACAAATGCCGAATATTTTCTCTGATATAAGGTGACTGCGCCATATTGGGGTAAGGAGGGGGAGTATGGGAGGAATAGACAACTCTAGATAGGGAAGAGGGGTGGAAGGGGAAGGGAGGGAGTGGGGTTAGCAATGATGGTGGAAGTGATAGACATTATCCAAAGTACATGTATGAAGACCTGAATTGGTGTGAACATACTTTATATACAATCAGAGATATGAAAAAATGTGCTGTATATGTATAATAAGAATTGTAATATATTCTGCTGTCATGTATTTAAAAAATAAAATCAATTAAATATTTTTAAAAATTAGCCATTCTCTGTGTTGCCATTCTCTACATATCTATCAATCTTCAGACTTTTATATATATTGGAGTAATTCCATCTGAGAACAAGTTATAGTTCTCTCACCTTAAAACTCTTTACTTTCACATCCATCTCTAGTTCTGCCCCCTTTCAATTTCTTAATAATCATACTTGCGGGGCTGGAGCTGTAGCTCAATGGTAAAGTACTTGCCTCACATGTGTGAGGCACTGGGTTTGATCCTCAGCATCACCTAAAAATAAATAAAGATACTGTGTGTTCATCTACAAGTTAAAAAAATTAAAAAAAAATAATCATACTTGCCTAATGTTACTCATCCCACCTCCTCCTTTCATTCAGTTTTTAGTATACCCTCCTATCTTCTGCCTCAGTGACTTCACCAAAATGGCTCTTTTCAAGGTTGCCAAGGATCTCCAAGTCACTAAATTCATAGTACACTTCTCAATCCTTGTTTGTTTGTTTGTTTGTTTTAATCCAAGAGAAGCATTTGAACAAGATCAGCACTTTCTCCCTAGATCACTTCTTCTTTAGCTTTATGATGCTTCGTTCTTTTGTTTTCTTCCTATCTTCTCTGTCATGGTCTCTCTCTACCCAGCCTGGTCTGGATAGTCTTTCCCTATCCAGCAGGCTGGTCTTTATCCAAGCTTTGTTAAATGGTCTTCTTCAAGGCTGAATATAGTAGCACATGCCTGCAATTCCAGCTACTTGGGAGACTGAAGCAGGAGGATTACAAGTATGAGGCCAGCCTCAGCAATGTACTGAGACCCTGTCTCAAAATGGACTGGGTAAAGTGGCAAAGTGCCCCTGGATTCAGTAATCCCCAGTACCAAAAATAAATTTAAAGAGTCATCTTCAGATTTCTGTATAGCCTCAATGACTTTAGTTCGAACCACCATCATTTCTCACCAGAATTACTATCATAGAATCCTATTAGTCTCACTCGTTAGGTTGCCTTCCACACTGCTGCCACTGCAATCCTTCCAAATCTTTCTTTCTAAATCTCAACAAATTCCCAATGTTTCATTTCTTTCTTGCTTGGTTTATAAGGGTCTACACTTGCTGCTTCCTGAGATGGAAGGTATATCCTTTTTCTATTGCTGCTGTAGCAAGTTACCATGAATTTCATGGTTTAAACAATACCTACTCATTAGTTCACATACTCGTTGGCCAGAAGTCTACAGTGTAGCTGGGTTCTCTGTTCAGCATATCACAAGGTATTATCTAGACTAAATTTTCTTCTAGAGATTTGGAGGAGGACTGAAGTGTCTGTTCCTTTGCTAGCTGTTGGCTTGGGGCTACTGTCAATGAGAAGCCACTCTCAGGCACTTATCCCACATCCTTCCCATCCTCCAGTTAGCAACTTCCTCCTGCATTCCTCCAAGTGAGCTCTTCTATCTTCAAGCCATTGATAGGGTGATGAATCCTTGTTCTACAAATCTCTCTGATTTTTGCTGCTGTGAGCAGCCAGAGAGAAAGTCCTTCAAGAGGACTTAGTGTGATGTGGTTAGGACTAGTTGGACAATTTTCCTAACTTGAGGTCAACTGATTAGTAAAATGAATTACATCTGAAAAATCCCTTTGGCACATAGCATAATCATGGAAGTAGTACCTCATTATATTCAAAGGTCCACACATGTTCAAGAGAAGATTCTACAAGGGTAATCATTTTGCAAGTCATCCCGTGATTCTATTTGTCCCAGGAAAGGAAGCCATGGAAAACATTTTCCTGAGGAATTGCTGCTTGAAAACTGAGATCCCATGGATGAGGAAAGAAGGAAGAAAGAAGCTTCCAGAGAGCATTGCAAAAGGCATGTAACTGGGGGATGGATAACAATAAAAGTGTGTGTGGGGGGGGGCTAAATGAACACCAGTGTGTCTACAGAGGAAAGAAAAAAAAATACAGTGCCTTGAAAGAAGTAAGATAGAGAAGTAAGCAGGAGTCAGGCCATGAGGGTTTCACAGATCCTGTTAAAGGGTTTTATCTGTCCCAAAAGGAAAGGTCAGAGAGCAGCATAATTAATTGGCATTCTGAACACAGCACTATAGCTATAAGGTAGAAGGTGGATGCAAGGAGGCACCAGAAAAATGCAGTGGCCCACTTAGGAAACTAGGAGAGTGGTGCAAGGTAATGTCTATGGATGTATAAGCAGGCAGAATCAAAGAACACTCAGTAGCTAAAATCAGCAGCACTTCATGATTGATTTAATACAGGAGTGATGTAGTTATGTTCCCCAGGAAGCAAACTCTAAAACAGAGATTCCTGTAAAGGATGTTTACTAAGGAGTGCTCTTGGAGTGCAAGAGAGAGAATTAAAATAGGATTGGGCAAAGGGAGAAGCTGAGCAATAATTCAGTCCCAACAAAGGCCTCAGTCAACCCCATGAGGAGCTCTGGGGCTGTGAACACATTTCAGAGTTGTCCTTTATTGGAGTAGGAGGACTGAACCCTTCTATCCCTGCACTGAGCAGCCAATGAAAACAGGAAGCCTCAGAAAGGGTACATGACCTTGGATGAGCTGGCTTTCTTCTGTTCAGACAACTCCTGATAGGAGGTTGACAGTTGAGGGCCATCTTTCAGAAGCACTCTCAGCAGCTGGAGAATAAATCCATCATTTTTGGAGAGGAGTCTAGGTTTTGCACATAGCCTTCATTATAAGGGTGGAGGAGCATAAAGGAAGAAGGCATTTAGAATAATTCCTAAATTTCTGATTTATGTGTCTTGATGGATGCATTTATGACATGTATTGCAATCACTGGTTTACTTGGAAAAATCTCCATTAGAGTGGGAGCTACTCAGAGACAGAATATATGCAAGACAATGCACAGTGGTCCTATATCTGGCACAAGGTTTGTTGAATAAGTGAAAGCAATCTAATTCTGTTTCCATTCCTCTCTCCCTACATTTCCTTTGTCCTCATCCAATGTGGGAAAAGTTCAGCAGGTTATCTGTGGCTCCACCTGTGCTGGAGTTGAACAAATAGCAAATCAAGCTCTTCTGGCCCAGAGCTCTCAGAAGAGCAAGGCAGGCAGTGCCAGGAGAAAGGGAAGTGGGGGTAGGTGATGACCTCCCACACACACACACACACACCCCAGTTTTAAGCCCTCCTTCAATTCCTCAGTCCCTATAAACAAGGACAGGACTAAGTCCTCTCCAAAAGATTAATTAGATAAATACTCTAAATTTCCCATAAACCCAGACCCCATCCGCACTCTAACCTGCTCGTCTAAGGAAGCCTCCATCTCTTGCAACCAATTCTGGGAGGCAGAAAATAGAATTTCCAATCATACTGGAATTTTTTGGAATGAAAAACAATGGATAGGGAACGGGACTCACACAGTAAAGGAGGCAAATCCTGCCCAATGAAGCTGAACCCCTTCAGTCTTGCAGGGGCACCCTTCAGCTTCCTGTTCTACATCCAGTGGCCCCCCGCTCGTGGGAACCTGACACTCTACACAGGCGGCTCCACCTGCGCTGAGAGCAAACAGGGAGCGTCAGCGTGTCGGTTGGGGGTGGACGCTGCCTGGAGACCAAAGAGACAGCCAGGCCTCCTCTCTTTTGCCTGGGTCCAGAGTGGGTGGTTAAAACACTACCCAATCCTATATATCCTAGGCATTTTTTCACCTCCATCTACCGCCGACCTCCACACCCTAGTAAGACTCTTTCTTTGGGCAGCCCTTTCCCCTGCCAGGACTTCCCGGTGGAGAAACAACGCCCTCCCCCATCCCTCCCAGTTTCTGAGGGTTCGTTGGAACCCTTGAGTAAAAAAGCCTGGTGTTTGATATCAGATAGAGATGGGGTGGTTCCATAAAGCACTTGCAGAAGCTACCCCAGCCCCAACTCACAGTTAGTTGGGAGCTGCAAGGAACTAAGAAACTACCGTAGTGTAGTGTGACGGTCACTGCAGCCACTGCGGCACAGTACCATAATCGCCGTGCCAAGCAAGCTAAGGCACCTGCGCTGCAGTGGGTGACCCCTGAAGGCAAACCCACCTTTCCATCGCCACCTCCGTGTTCCCTGACCCACCAGAGAAAGATGCTGGCCCGGCAAAAACTGCACACTGCCGCCTCTTGCCCTCCCTCTCCCGCAGTCTCCCTCCGCCCCGCCAATACTAGCGCGCGCCAGCATACACACACACACACACACACACACACACACACACACACATCACACACGAATTCCTCAGAATTCATGGGGGCGTTGGTAAAGCGAGGTGGGCAGGAAAGACATCTCTAAGAGAAGACCAGAGATCTAGGGAGGGGGCGAGCCTGGAGGACAGTCACGCTGGAGGACGCGTAACTCCCGAGCGAGCGAGGGAGGAAGGCGGAGAGTCACCTGGTGGGAGAGGCAGACCAGAGCCTGGGAGGCACCAGAGCCTAGGCGGGGCGAGCCCAGGAACTGAGGGCCAGGGGCCAGGGCTGAGGGCGGAGACCAGGCGGGGCAGGGGGTGGGGTAGGCGGGAGTCTGAGCCAGAATCTCGGCATGAGCAGGTGGAGCCTTGGCGGGAACCCGCCTGGCGGAGCAGAGTGAGGTAGCGGGCTCAGCTGGGGCCATGGAGCTGCTTAAGCTAAACCGGAGCGTGCAGGGACCCGGACCCGGGCCGGGGGCTTCACTGTGCCGCCCAGGTGGCCCCCTCCTCAACAGCAGCAATGCGGGCAACCTCAGCTGCGAGCCCCCTCGCATCCGCGGAGCCGGGACAAGAGGTGGGTGCCTCCCTAAGCCCCCACCACATGCTCCTTTTCACTGCACCCCGTAATACTAATAGAGCCTCCCCCGCGACTTCTACACTGCAGCGACAACCCCCCCCCGCAGCGGCCCCCTCATAGAACTATCTCAGCCCCCAAAGAGCTTCCCCCTCACACATTTGGTCCCTACAGCTCTTAAAACCACATCACAGCTTCACATCACCTGGTCAGAACCCTTCACATTCCGGCCCCTGGTTACACCAGAGCTCTTGGTAACCCCCAAACAACAGCACCACACAGCACACATAGTTAAGGGACAAGAACCTCCCCTTACCAGCCTTTCTAGATCTTTTTCTGTCCCCCTTTTACATCCAGCTCACAGAACCACAATAGGAAAGGGAAGGAAGAAAGGAAGGCAAAAAGAAGGAGCTGGTTGAGGGAGGGAGCACAGTGGGAGGTCTGAATGGGAAGTTAGTTGTAATCTGCTGTGTATCCCACCCCAACACCAGTCTTCCCAAATAAGATTTTCAAATCTGAATTAGACTGGACACTGGGGGATGCGCCTTAGAGCTGCCTGACTGCATTATTTTGCTCATCCTCAAACCCCTCTGCCTCCCAAGTTGAAGTTCTCAAAGGCTTTGTGCTTCCCAGCTCTGTGCTTGCTTGCCCTCTCCCTTCCTCCCTCCTCTCATAATGTCTCCCAGCCACTTTCAAATCCTCTCTCCACTCTGCCCTTCTTTAAGTCTCACCCTGCTAGACAGGCTGCCCCTTGCATCACCCCCTCCCTTTGTGTTACTATCACCTCTTGCCATCCATCCATCTTTAAAGTGCTTCCAAACATCCAGTCCTCAGAGTGACTTTTACTCCTCCTATCAGCTAGCATCTCATTGTCTTGATGAACATCTTAAAATACATTTTCTTCCCTTTCTGAACCCTTCCTGTCCTGACTGTTCTCTGAACACCTTCTATCCTAGTCCCTAGGTTAGGT